ATCTGTTAATACATACATGTGTGTGTGTGTGTGTGTGTGTGTGTATTCATAGCAAAATTCTTTTTTATTCATAGCAGAATTCTTCATAATAGCCCCAAACTGAAAACAATACAAATATCCATTAATTATAGAATTAATACCTAAATAAAATCAATTCATTTATTTTATAGCAATTAAAATGAATGAGCAATCATTACACCAACAACAAAATAAATCTCACCAACATAATTTTGGGTAAAGGAAGAAAAATAGGAAGATACAGACTATCTGACTTTACTTACAGAACTTTTTTTTTGTAATTTGCTATAAGGCACTTGCTGGAGGGAGGGAAAGTGAGAAAGCACTCTGCAGGGGAATGGTCATGGCACAATCCCTCTCCTCCATTCTCCTCTCGGGATTTTGGGCACAGCACACACACACACATGCACCTAGCATGAACAATTACCTTAGAAAACATTCAATTACAGCGTTCAAAATTATTTCAATTAAACAATCAAGTAACTATATTTGGATAGGAGCAGTTTCCATCGTCTTTGAGAGGAATATCAAAAGATGTACAGAAGAGCAAGCAAGTCAGGAAGTGTTACCCTATCAACAGTCGACATAACAATAAAGAGAGGAAAAACAGAACAACTTATGTTGGAGACAAATGGGAGTTATGGCCAGACTTGCCCAGCCCCGTGCAAAGCTGGGTCAATGGTCAAGTCAATCAACCTCTTAGTGAAGAGTAGACAGCCATGGCTTTCATCAGACTTAGAAACTTCAGCAGAGAATGCAACCAGTCTAGATATTTAGCAAGGATGAGCTTTATCAACTTCAGGTCAGACAGTGGCAGCAAGGAAATCACACAGTAAAGATGTCTACCCTCAATAACAAGTTTTCTTCTAGTAAGGAAGAATCGGAAAGACTATCTGGAATCAGGAAGACACACACAAATCTTGAAATATGCAATGGTAACCAAATAGAATCATATTTCAAACCAAAAGGCACTTGAAAAATCTAAGAATAGTCTAATTATATTTTCCTTCCATTAAAAAAACCTGTTTGTACATAAAGTAAGGTAAATTACATTATTTTCCTGCATCTGACTTTCTGTATAAATTATTACACTGAAAGGGAAAGAAACCAAATTGAGCTTTTCATTAACCCAACTGACAGAAACCCAGTTACATTTTATTAGAATTATTTTATTTAAATTTGTTTACTTATTTGCTTATTTTAATTTGACCAGAGAGGGTCAGAGAGAGAGAGAGAGCAAGCTACCAGGTCTGGGACTTGAACCGCAGTTGGCCATGTGGGAGTACAACGCCCTTAACCACCACACCACCTGCCAATTCCATTCCAGTCACATTTTCTAAATGGCTCCCAAGGCTGAAAGATTTAGACCTGCAGGTCACTGTACAGCAAGGACTATAAATAATGCTTTAATTTTGTGTTGCAGTGTCTGTACGTTTCATACTTTCTTAACACATTTAGAAATTGTCCCTTTGCTTTATTGAAAAGAAGTTTAAGCGCAATGTATGTGTTTTTAGCAATCAAATTTTGTGAACCAAATTTTCTATATATAGTCCTAGAAAAAAGCAAGCATATTTTAAAAAGAAAAACCTTTCAGGATAGTATGAAAATCAAGAGAGTGAGCAGAATTCTATACTGAATAATTTATAAGGTCCTCATTCTCATTTAAAAGAGCACTCTTTAGGAGTCTCTCCTGCACTAGAAATAAGGAAATATTCTAATGCTGGGACAATGAGAGGATCTACCTCCCCATATCTGCTCCCCTAGAAAAACAACTATAATTGGTGAAAATTAAGTTTAAAATAATAAAGATTGTCTTGAGGGCATACAATACATAGAGAACATTTATTCAAGAACAACTACTGTATCTATTAATGACTGACTCTTGGGAAATAAAAGCATGTAAGACATGATATGTGCACACAATAGAATATTAGTCATCCTTGAAAAAGAAGGAAACTCTTACATGTGTTAAAATATAAATGAACCTTAGGACATTATGCTAAGTGAAACAAGTAAGCCAGTCACAAAGGACAAACACTGTCTGATTTTACTTTCATGAGTTACCTGGAGTAGTTGAATTCATAAAGACTTAAAGTAGAACGATTGTTGCCAGAGACTGGAGAAAGGGAAAGATGGGGAATTATTGTTTAATGGGAACGAAGTTTCAGATTCAGAAAATGAAAAAGTGCTATAGATGGATGGTAATATTACTTACAACACAATGTGAATGTACTTAATATCATTGTACTGTACCCTTAAAATAATAATATGATAAATAAAAGTAAATAAATAATTCTTTAAAAGAAAAGATAGATAGTGGGACCAGCAGATGGCATAATGGCTACATTGCTGAACTCCCATGTAGTTGACCACGGTTCGAGTCCCGGACTCAGTGGCTTAAACTCACGCCGGGCGGATGTGCGTGCGTGCTCAAGATCCTGAGAGGAGAATGGAGGAGAAGGGTTTGTGGCGTGGCCATCCCCCTGGGGGGTGATTTCTCACTTTATGTCTCTCTGTCTCTCTCTTTCTGGTGAGCGCACGTGCCCTACAGCAAAAACTTCTCCAATAAATAAATAAATAAATAAATAAATAAATAAATAAAATACAAGATAGATAGTAACAAGTGGTGGCAAGAATACAGAGAAATAAAACCCTCACAGTTTTGTGGAAAAGTGCACAAATTGACTTATCAGTGAAAAAGTATGGCCACTTTCGAAGATGGTCGAGAAGTCTTTCAAATATTAAAAGGAATTATGATATGATCCAACAACTCTGTTTCAAGGTGTATATAGCTAAGAGAAATAAAACATATGCCCAATACTGCCATATTCTCATAACCTGGCTTTTTCTATCCCAAATATGTAAATTGTTTTTCTTTTTTTTTTTTTTTTTTGGAATATGAATAATGAGGATTGTGTCATCTTTTTTATCTTGGCCCACATATCAGATCTTGCATTTACTTTTCCTGCTGGATATAAAAAAAAAAATCTCTAATACACACACACACACACACACACACACACATATGTGAGATTTTTGCTATAGGGCATGTGAGCTCACCAGAGAGGCAAAGACAGAGAGACACAAAGTGAAATCATCCTCCATGGGAGATGGCCATGCCACAATCCCTTTTCCTCCATTCTCCTCTCAGGACCTTGGGCACACATGCACATGTACCCGGCATGAGTTTTAAGCCTCTGGGTCCAGGACTCCAACTGCGGTCGACTATGTGAGTCCAGAGATGCAACCATTATGCCATCTACTGGTCCCTCTGTTCGATATTTTTGCTCAGTTTCTTTCCCAGAACATTAAGAGTTTTTATTTTGAAAAAGTTTAAGAATCATTTCCCATAACTTCTCCCACTCATATTAATTAATACTCACCCAACACATTATACTGAGTACTGAATCTGTGCCAGAGCCTGTGCTGCACGATGAATAATGTGAGCTTCGGGACTGCCTTCAAACTTGGGAAGAACAAGATACCACAGAGAGTAATAAGATCATTGAGGAAACACCACATGAGTAATAGTTCTAAAATCCCAAAGGGGCAAAATTCGATCTTAGACCATTATGGTCCGTGTGGGAAGCCCTTTATTGAGCTTTGCCACTAGAGGGATATAGCGTAGCTGAGGTATCTAACTTTAGATCTGAAAGACAAACCTTGAAAGATTGTGCCTGACTTGATTTTTAAAGTCAAGGAGTTCATATTTACAGTCACAAGATGGGGCTGTTACAGTTGCAAACCCAAGCTCCTTCCAGGAAGAGGGATAAATTGCCATTGTAAAAACAACATATTTTTCCCCTTTGTCATCTTCAACTTTACAATCTCATCGTCAGTATGCAGAGCTTCAAGGACACATGTAAGACCCTTCCCAAATGCAAAGCAAAGAGCTGACGGCGCATGGAAGAAGAGCAGTGATTTTTTACATAGCCCACTTTTAATTAGACAGGTAGTTGTTACTAGGGTGGACTGACAAGGTTGGTTATTGTTGCAGGGAAGGATAATTCATTGTAATTTTATTTCTTTCCTTTTCTTTAATAACTTCTTAATTTAGAATAACTAGAGAAATTCCTTCAAGCTTAGTGCTACCTCTACCCCTCTTATTAAATAACTTCATTTATTTCCCTTTCCAGATCTCTTACATCTCTTCCTTCTCTTCTTTTCTCCTCTGTGTTCTCCATGCACACTACTCCCAGGCATGGGCATGGAGAAACGTGAGAAAACGTGTCACAGCGGGACTCACGTGGGGTAGGAGGAAGTACCATTTAAGTCGCTGGCTCCTGTCTCACGCTCAGAGAAACCAGGCAATGTCCATCTAGAAAAACACTTAAGATAGCATTTCAGGAGCCAAGATGGGCAGGCAATTCAATACCAGGATATTTGTTTTTTAACCTGGGTTCTAACTTTATCTTCTCTTGTCACACTAAGCACAGCAATATTATACAACTAAAAAACTAATTGTCTTTTACAGTATCATTTGCTTTTTCATTTAAATTATGGCATATATATATATATATGTATCATTTTAGAAAAAATTATAAAAAATTTCTAACTTTTTGAAATTAAATTACTTATTACTGCTTCCGAAATTTACTTGCTCTAGCTGGGAATATGGACAGGAATTCTCTTCTCCTTACAGCACAGACCTCGACTTAGACTTCTTGGATTAAAGGGCATTTGCTTCCAGATCAATGGAGTATCAAACCAGGTAGTGGTTTTACCTTTACTGTAAATAAAAGAGGAATAATCTAGTGAATGGTTTTACTCATTCAGATACAGCCTACTTGAGTTTGAACCTTGAAAACGACCCAAATGAGAACTTTCTGAATTATGGCCAAATACTGAGAAAGCATACTTACCCTCTTTTTAAATTCACATTTAAACCTGAGGATGGAGATTGACCTGATGACGAAACCGTTCTGCCTTTAGCTGATGCTATGCTGGGAAGGAACAGAAGAGACACTTCCTGCTGCAGGGCTGAGCTGGTGGCAGCTGCTTTGTTATCTGAGACCTCCCCCAACCTAAGGTCAGACACAGATTCTGAGCTCAGAGGTTTGGAATCTCAGCTTGCACTTGAGCTATGAAGTTGGTGACAGCATGTACTGTTCTCTGGACTTTCGGTAAGTTTCTGGGCCTAAGAAAGGAAGGCTTTTGTGGCTAAAGACAAAGAAGAGATATCTTCTGCCTCTATTTCTCCAACTGTGGTTTTCCAAACTGCTGGAAATACTTTGTATCTCTGTGTGTTTCTAAAAGTCTGAGCATCAGTGATCTTATCCACTATTCACAAAAGATTCCTTGGGTCCCACAGCTTTCAAGTCTTAAGGGGTTTAGGGCTTCTGAGATTAAAGGTTAGGGAAAGTGGGCTATTTATCTCTGGTTTTACGGCTCTAGGTAACTAAGGAATAAACACCAACAATATTTCTCTTGTCTTGGAAATCATATGTGAAAAACTCTCGAGCAGCACCAAGAAAGAGAGTTCTGAGAGTATGTGTGAGCCGGCCTTTAGATGCACCAAGATGTGACAATCCAGAGCTAATCTGTTATTTCTCAACCTCTCAGGTATTATGGGTGATGCTAAAACCACACAGCCAACTTCAGTGAAGAGTGCTGAAGAAGAACCTGTGCACTTGCCCTGTAACCACTCCACTATCAGTGGAAGTGAGTACATACACTGGTATCGACAGGCTCCCCAACAAGCTCCTGAGTTTGTGATTCGTGGTCTGAAAAACAATGAGACCAATGGAATGGCCTCTCTGGTCATCGCTGCTGACAGAAAGTTCAGTATCTTGATCCTGCCCCGTGTCACTCTGAGAGACACTGCCGTGTACTACTGCATGGTGAGAGACACACACTGGGACAGACGGGGCTGCACCTGTGCAATATCTCCCCGCAGGGGAAGGGAAACAGCAACAGCCATCTAAAGAGGCCGCTGCACAAGAACGAGCAGAAGCTCAAAAGAGGAAAAAGAAAAGTAACCGAGAAAGAAGGGGAAAGAAGTAAAAAGAGGATAGTGAGGAATTCAAGGAGGAGAGGATTAATGGAATGAAGAGGCTGAGGGGAAAGAGCTAGCATTGAAAGGACTGAGGAGATTATGAGGAGACTAAGAGCCACTATTGTAATCCTGCAGTAAAAAGGAGAGGAAAATGAGAATTTGCCAGGATTATACCTTTTAGTCACATGTTGCTACCTGCGTGGGTCTCAGTAAAAAAAGTGAGAATAACCATTTGGTTGTTCCAAAGGCTTTCTTTTTGGACCCAAGGAAGGGCCTGACTCTGGCTATCACTTATTTTACTCCTTCCAAATGATCTCTCCAGAATTGAAATGAATTTCAGAAATTGATTCATTTGCTCTTCAGAAAAATTTTCTTTGCTGCTCATCTTTTGGATACAGATGATTTTTCGAAAGGAGTGAAAAAGGAACTGATATGTGGGTATTCATTTTATTTTAAACTCTATACTAAAGTATGTATCATTACACAAAAATACTCAGTGTCTCTTCCTTGCGAAAGACTCAAGGTATTACATGAATGCATAGAGTGAGCCCTGAAAGCCCAGAAATGGCTCCCCACCCCCATCCTATCTCCTCTCCAGCTCCTGTAATAACCCATTTTGGCAGTCTGAGGTGTGTCCTGACCAGCACATTCATTTTCGTTTACATGAATACTCATAAAGACCTACCCAATTTTATTACATAAATTGGATTGTATCACATATATTTTTCTTTTAATTAAAAAAAAATTGAGGTGTGTATATGTGTGGGAATGTATATAACCAGAATTATGTACAGTCCTAGAAGTTGAGTTGTCGTGCTAAAGTATATACCTTTTTTATATTTTCACAAGTATTGAAAAATTACATTCTGAAATGGCCCTAACAATCTACACTGCCAGCAACACAGCAAGGAAAACCTATTTCCTTTCATCTTAGTTAACAGTTAACACCGTTATCAATCCTTTTAGATTTTAGATAACCGAAAGTAATTTTTTTTTTTTTTGGAGAGGTTTTTTCACTATAGGGCACGTGCGCTCGCCAGACAGGCAGAGAGAGACATAGAGATAGAAAGCGAGAAATCACCCCCCAGGGAGAATGGTCACGCCGCAATCCCTTCTCCTCCATTCTCCTCTTGGGATCTTGGGCACGCACGCACACGTGCCCGGTGTGAGATCTAAGCCACCGGGTCCAGGACGCGAACCGCAGTTGACTACGTGAGAGTCAAGCGACATAGCCATTACGCTAACTGCTGGTTCCCACCTGTTTTTGGATTTGGAGAGTTTGTTGTTCATGTGCACTCGCTAGAGAAACAGAGAGAGAGAGACAGAAAGCAAAAAATCACCTCCTGGAAGGTGTGGCCACAATGCAGTCCCTTCTCTCCCATTCTCTTTTTGGGATTTTGGCTTGCATGCACATGTGCCTAGTATGAGTTTAAAGCCTCCAGATCCAGGACTTGAATCAAGGTCATGTTCGTGGGAGTACAGCAACATAATTATTATGCCATCTGCTGGCCCTGAAAGTATTTCATTGGTATTTTCATCTGCATTTTTGTAATTACTTGTGCTGCTGAACAGCTTTCCTTATGTGTTGGTCCTTGTGATTCCATTTTTATAGCATGCTGAATAGCATTATTCAAGCAGTTTCAAATAGACTTTTTCTTGTTTATTTATAAGAATTCCTTTTAATAATATATGTATCACTTTGCCTATTACATTTATTGTATGTACTTTTTCTAATATATTGCCTTTTTAATTTAATAACAAAGTTATGGGAAGAGCATAGAAGACACACATTAAAAACATGTACTTGAATGTAGAATGACAGAAAAGTATAATAAATGGATGATAAGAATACCATGTAGTTGTCATCAATAAAACATTTAATCACTTTGAATCAAGGTCAATGGGACGTTTGGGAAGTGAGAAGAATTTTTCTTTATCAATCTGGTCTACTTTCTGAGTATGGAGCATGCAAGAGGCAAGGAAATTAAATACATTCCTAGAAGCCGAATTGGAAATCCACAGAGAAGTCAAGGGAATAATGTGGAAAACCTATGCATGAACAAGTGTCTGTAGAAACTGAAGAGCAACAGTGGGCTTCCAGTCAGCCAAGCACATCTACAGGAGTACCAAGAACCTCAGCAAAAGGGAAAAAATGAAAAAGATATGTGAAGGATGACACAGCTTCCTGTCTAAAGGAGAGGGCATAATGCAACGACAGCAGCGTACAGCCTCAGAAAAAGATGCCAATTCCCCCCTTACCCTCTAAACTGCCACCGGTCAACTGGCTTCACTGAGGCATTTTGCAGGCTTGATGCCACCAATTAAAGTTCAATTCCAAAGGCCAGAAATTAGATGCATATGGGAGACTGTGAGCCTATGCTATCCAAATCAAAAGGATATTCCTACATTAAATATTAAAGGTGGGCAGAGGGAAAGCATCTGCAGAAAGTCCTCAGGAAGGGATGTGTTAGGAAAGGACTAACCCTCCAGAAGTGGCTCCTCTACCTGCAGAAGCTTTGCCTAACCTTGAAGAGTCTGCAGCTCTCCTCGAGGGAGTTAATACAATTGAGGTGACAACCTCTGCCTCAGAGGCTGTACTGGCCTGGGCCAGAGTTGCATCTGTGGCTGGAAACATGGAGCAGCAGAATCAGAGGCTGTGGAATCCTTGCAAGAGGCCTATGTTGTCAGGGTATTATGTAGTCCAAGGGAGAAGTCTCCCTGCAAACACAGGCAGTTGGAATCACCTGCAGTTTCATACTGGACAAACTTGGGTTCTTGAGAAGCAAAGGGGGAGAGTGTGTGCACCCTTCCTACTTCCGGCATACAATTTCCCACTCCCACATCTGGAGGACAATATGTACCCGAAATGTGTACAAAGGAACAAGGTCTTAATGAAAAGTCTCCAATGGGATTAGAATACCAAGAAAAGGGCACATCTATGGTTATAATTAATGTTAGAAAAGTTAGACAAGCAACTCCACAGTGCCCCAGACAGCTGAACTCTGGTCCTCCACACTGGTTGAGCTTCTTGCTGATCAGAGCCCATGCATCTGATGGGATACAGATAGTACCCTTGAACTCCCAACAGTGTCTGCTGCTTCACAGGCTGGGGTACAGAGACTATGTTTGAAAATGGAAAAGACTTTCACAAATGACCATGCATTCCAATTAATAGATGAAAAAGTTGTTCCTACTACCAAATGTCTACCCTTCTGAACTAGAAAGGACTTCAACTGTTCTTGAAGTGGGAACTTCCTTAGCAGTGCACTGTGGAAGAGTTGGGACAGGAAACTCATTTGCTTTGTGTTGGATTTTTTTTTCTCCTCAGGAAACTCATGACTTAGGAGATGTTCCATTCTGATTGTAAATTTAATAAATACAAATACTTTTTTAAAAAATATACTCATTTTGTTTTCATTTTTACTTTACATTCAATCACTGTGTATCATTATAGAATACAAAATGAATTTTCCTAGCATGAATACATGGTATATAGTCCAGTCAAAGGTATTACCATACCCATTATTATCAGCAGATAATTTTCCATTTTTGTGTCCCTTAAATTTTGGCTTCTTTCTTTTTCCTATTTATCCTCTCCCTCTCACCTTCCTCCATTTTCTACCCTCCTCCCACACTGTCTCTAGTATCCAGAGTTGCTCTCCATGGTTAATAACTGTAGTCTTTGAGTTTCTGCCATAGAGTGCAGACCTTCAGTGTATATTTAGTAGGGACATACCATGCCTCTCTTTCATAATCTGGTAGTAGGGGCATACCATGCCTCTCTTTCATAATCTGGATTGCTTTACTTAGCAATAACTCCTCCATATTCGTCTACTTTCTACCAAATGCCAGAGAAATTTACTTGTTTTTAAAAGTCCAAATGCTGTCTTATAAAATATTAGTTGAAAAATATTATAGCATCTCAAGTAACACCTGCAAGCTAACAAAATTACTAAGCCCCTGACCATTGAGTTTGAATCTGACCCTATTGACTTTTGCTGAAACTTAAAAGGGAAGGTTATAAGTGATTCATTAAAGACTACTACTCTAGCAGTGTCACAATTACATGTCAGGGCTTGTTTGCCCCATAACACTTCCATCTTCAGGTCCAGAACTCTGGGTGGGAGTGATCTACCCTCTATCCAGTTTTATAAATTATCAAGGATAGTGGAGAGTTAATAAACCAGAAAGTAACTTCACTTTCTCTGTTTTTACCCCTCTTTCTGTTCTTGTCATTTCCTCCTGTTTCTTTTATCCTTTGATCATTATCCCCATGTTATTAAATATATACTTGAAGGAATCTATTGTAATGATAAAAATAATGACTATAATTTTGACCACTGATATGCCAGACATTCTTTTAAGTGCTTTAGGTTTAAACTCTTACTTTGTTATCAGATAAAGGAATTGTGCACAGTTTACAGATGGCAACTAGATGTTAATTCTTGTTATGGTCAATAAAGGCATGCTGGAAAAAAAAATCCAAATTCAAATGCTGGCATTGTCTAGAAAAATGTAGCAAGTTTATTTATAAATTGTTACAAAGTTGCACTGCTGAAATTTCTCCACCAAAAATGTTTACTTACATTAATGCTTTTAATTCCCTCATTTATTGAATATTAAAATTTACAGACAAATGAGAATGGAAAAACTGCCAATACCTGATCTCTGCCCCGTGTTTTTCACTTGCAATCACATCCTTAGGTTCTTTTTGACCCCATGGAGAAAAATATCTAACATTCAGAACTATCAACAACAGAAAGAAGCAATAGACACATTTTTGAGAGTGAAATGTTCCCCATCAATGTGGATTCTTAAACATGTCCTCCACAAACGCAGCACACTAGCTGGATTTTTTTGACGTAATAGTTATTTGTTTGGCATGGGTAGCACACACGTTGATATTTTCAAAAAGGCCAACCAGATTGGCCTCGCTTGCCTCCCGCAAAGTACTAATAGCTGCACTCTGGAAACACAGATCTGTTTTGAAGTCCTGAGCAATTTCTCACAACAGATGCAGGAAAAGAAGTTTGCAAGTCAGAAGTTCAGTGGACTTCTGATAACAACGTCTAAATTCCTCCAGCCTTGTGTGGTTCTAAAGATCATTCTAAAGATCTATGAATGTGTAATTTCACAGAGTGTCACAGTACGAGGCCTGAAATGATGAGGTGTCTTCACCTCTCCAGTCTCCAGTAGAGGGCGCACTCTTGCGCATGGCTTTCATAGCCAGTTGTTTCCTGGGTGATTTACCGCAGGTTGATTTGCAGGATGCTTTGTACCAGCCACGGTACAGACACTCCTCACTTACCTTCCTTCTCCTTCTGCTGGAGCTCGGCGAGCTTCAGGCTGCACTGCCATTGAAGAGTGACGGCCTATAGTGTATCTATCAAATGTATTGATTCGATTTTTATCAGGGGTATTTTTATTTTCATATTATCAAATCTATGTCCTGTAAGGCACACTTTTCTCATTCCAAGTTGATAAATCAAAATTCCAATGTTTTCTTCTAATCAAGAATAGTCAGTTAGTCATCTTGTATGGACTAAGTGAAAGCCAAGCTAGGGTTTAATAAAGGGAGACAAGACTCTTGACATCAATAATAGCATTTACAATTCTGTATTTTGCCTGTAGACTGGACGCCATACAAAGAGAATTTAAAAATAAAATATAGACTCCTGGATCAAAATAATAATAAAAGAAACTCTAACTGTTTGTAATAGGTTGATCTCTCTCTCTCTCTCTCTCTCTCTCTCTCTCTCACTCACAGAGAGAGAGAGGGGTTCCCCCACTAGCTTTCCTATACCAGAGCTTATTTGGTAAACAAATTCACCAAGTATTTCAGTGACTGCTATTATTACTCCTCTTATGTAAACAGAGTGGATGTTTCTGAAGTTATCTCAGAATTCTGCTTTTTTCAATCAAATAATTCTAGTGATAGAATAACAGGTACCAAGAGATGGCATACATAATTTTGGGCAGATGATATATAAAAGAAGGTGTCATTGAGTCTTGAAATGTCCCTTAAAATGGTCTGTGGTTATCTAAATGTGACTACCAAAAGGGAAGTTTATCCAAAAAGAACGGTTGTCGTATCCTCAATTACGTCCCCTTTCCAAAATTAAGCTGTAGTCCTAACTCCCAGTACATCCGGACATAGCCTGATCTGAAGACAGGATCTTTAACAGAGACAATCGATCAAGTTAGCATGAGGTCAGCAGGGTGGATTCTAATCTAGTAGGACTAGTCCCCTTATTAAAAGGGAGAATTTGGAGATTGACACACACACTGGGAGAATGCCGTGTGAACATGAAGCTGGAAATACAGGTGATACCTATCTCGCCCAGGACAGAGACTTCTAACAGATTCTTTCCTCATAGCCTCAGAAAAAAAATAGCTTTGCTAATCATTTGATTTTGGACTTGCAGCCTCCAGGCCTGTGAGACATAAATTTCTGTTTCTTTAAAGCCAGTTTGTGGTACTGTTATAGAAACTCTAGCAAACTAACACACTACTAAGATCCTTTATCAACTAGGCCAGATCTCAGAGAAAGGTGTTCTTTTCCAACGTTAATCATTTGCCTAACCCAGAAGCTACTCAGGAAAAAATTTCCCCTCTGAAGGAAAAATAAAGTCATTCTCATATAAACAAAGACTGAGAATCCATTGTCAAATTTGCCTTCTGGTAAGTTCTAAAGGAATTTATTCATATGAGAGGAAATAATATCAGAAATAAAGAGCACAAGTAAACGGGACTACACGGCCAGCCCCATAGTGCAGGAGTTAAGAGAGCTGGATTACAAAGGATCAGCCGCAATTCAAATACCAGCCCTGGCAGCTTGAAAAATACACCAGGCACATGTGTGTGCATGCCCCAAATCCTGATCAGATGGAGAAGAGGGGATTGGAGAGAAATGGAAGCAAAGGGATTAACTGATCTTGCCCCATAGGGAGGAGAGGTGGTGTTTTGTCCCCTCTCTCCAATTGGGCCAATGATTTGGAAAAAAAACTTCACCAAAGAAGACCTGCATATATTAAATAAGTACACAAAATGCTCTTGGCATCGTTTTAGGTATAAGAAAAATGCAAATTAGAACAATGAGCTACCGCTACATATCTAATAGAGTGGCTAAAATTAAAATGACTGACCATACCAAGTACTGATGAGATTACAGAGCAATTGGAACATTCAAACATTATATCAGGAGTGCAAATGATACAACCACTTCAGAAAACAATCCTTCTGTTTCTTAAAAAGTTGAATATGCAGGTGGCGTGGTGGTTGGGATGCTGGACTTCCATATGGCCAGACCACAAGTTTGACTCTTGGACCTGGCAACTTGCTTTCTTACTTTCTCTCTTTCTCTGGTTAGTGCATGTGCCCTACAGCAAATTTAAATAATAATAATAATAAACAAAATTAAAGAAATAATTCTTTTTAAAAAATTGTAGATGCATCTATGGTATAACTCAGCAATTTCACTTCTCAGTATGAACCCAAAAGAAATAAAATTTCATGTCCATACAAACACTTACACATTAATATTCATAACAGTAACTAGGAAAATATTATAGTAATTGGAAATCACCCAAACATCCATCAACAAATGAAGCTACACTATAAAATATTATAGCAATCAAAATGAATGAACCAATAAACAGAACATGGATAAATCTGTTATGGACTGAATTTTTGTGTGCCCCCCTACTATTCATAGGTTGAAGTCCTAACCTCTGATATAATGATATTTGCAATGGAGCCTTTGGTAGGTAGTTAAAGTTGGATGAAGTCATGAAGGTGGGGTCCTCATGATGAAATTAGTGCCCTTATGAGAAGGGACACCAGTAAGCTTTCTCAATCTTATCATAGATTGCATAGACATAGCAAGAAGGTAAACTTCTATAAGTCCAGAAGAAAGTCCTTATCAGGAATTAAATGGGCTGGTACCTTAATTGTGAACTTACCAACCTCCAAAACTGTGAGAAATAAGTTTCTGTTCCTTAAGCCACCCTATCTGTGGTATTTTGTACTGGCAACCCAAGATAACTAATAAAATCTCAATATAAATATGCTGGAAAAAAAAAACAGATGAGATAGTTTATACTATGTGGTTCTATTTACATAAGACCCTAGAAAACGCATACCAGAGCTTGCCTAGTGCTGAATGAGGGTCGGGAGGATGTGATAGGAATGAAGATAGGAGGAATAGCAAAGGAGCACAAAGGAGAAGAACACAGGGAAGTATGGAGAAGATTTCCTATTTGTATACCCATGTCAAAAAATAATCACATTGAACTTTTTTAAAATATGCAATTTATTGTTATGTCAAGTGTGCCCCAATAGTTTTTTTTTAATAATAGTATGTGCACATAAGATAGAAATAGAGATAGTGGCACCTTAGAAGGTCTTATCACACTACAATCCTCTTCCCTCAGCCCTCCAGTTCCTCAGGACCTTGAGTGCCTGTCTGTGCACTCATATGTTTTCAAACCAACCTGGAGTTTTAAGCTCATGGTCAGTCATATGGCTTCCAGCCTTGCAGGGCATCATTTTAGGCATAAGGAAAAATGCACTACACCATGCCACAGCAATGGGACCTCGGTAAAGTAGCTTTTTAAAAGTCTGTAAATAAAAGTACGCTGAGTTAAATGTTGAAAAACAATTACTCTGTACTGTAGGAAATAGAATTTTTCACTTCCTCTTAGTTATAAAAAAATACTTTCTCAAGCATGTCCAAGTAGTAAGATTTTCCATATCTCATAATAAACAGCATACTGTAGTACAATAAATAGAAGTACCTCATTTATGTAATCTCTAGAAGTCACTTTATTCAACAGTTCTCATTTTGGCCAAAGGGTGGCAGTGTTTGGAAAGTATTTCAGTTAGGTTTGTGAAGTTCTGAACAAATAGGAGCCCAGGTGTGGTCTGTGATTGGTGCAGACCTGTGCACCAGTACATTCAATTCTGCTAGGGAAGTCCTTTCAGAAAAACTTGATTTGGCTGTATTTTCTAAAGAACCAAGGGATGGAGACTCTTCTTCAAATACTCATAGTGATCTTGGGGTTGCAGGCACCATGTGAGTACGTGGTTAGTCTGAAACTTGCTCGGGTATCTCGGGTGACAACACCCAAAGGCAGAGACTGACTCCTGTCTGGGGATGTCAGAAGGCCCTCTTGAGAGCCAAATAGGTGTTGAAAAGTGGACAATATTCTGTGTTCACGCTTCTGCCTGGGGAACATGGGGAGAGGGAGAAACATCATCTACTACACCAAGAAAATCTCAAGAGGGTCTTCTATATTTTCTTTACATTGTCTCTTTGATCAGGGGTCTGTAGCCAAGAGCTGGAGCAGAGTCCTCAGTCACTGATTGTCCAAGAGGGAAAGGAGATCACCATAACCTGCAATTCATCAAAGACTTTGTATACCTTACACTGGTATAGGCAGAAGGATGCTGAAGGGCTCAGCTTCTTGATGATGTTACGAAAAAGTGGAGAAGAGGAGAAAAGTCATGAAAAAATGACGTTCACATTGGATGAGAAAAAGCAGCGAAGCTCCCTTCATATTGCAGTCACCCGACTCAGCCACTCAGGCACCTACTTCTGTGGAGCAGAAGCACAGTGATGTTCAGACCTCCTCGGGCTATCCCCAAACCTGCAGCTGAGTCACAGGTGCTCTGTTGACACAGGATGCTTGAAGATATTTACTATAACAAGAAACCTGAGAATGATGCAGTTGTCTCATTGCAAAAAAAAGGGGGATGGGGGTAAGGATGATACAAGGGGAAGCTTTATCATTAATCCCAAATGTAATTTGACGTTATTGTCTGGGTAATTATATTTCCTTTAAGTATGTAGAACATCAAAGGGGGATGAAAATAGCATGAATTTCAGTGACTCATTCAATAATTGTGAATGAAGGTTGTGACTCTTTTGTCCCAAGGAACTTCTTTCTTTTCTGCTATTCAGCTACCTTGTTAATAGGAAGAAACTCTGAGACATTTATTGGGTTCTTTGTGGCATATTAAGGCTGTGCATGAGTACTGGAATAGCAATACTATCACACACTGACATATTTTTTTCTAAGTTTATGTTACAGAAATAAATGAATAGATAGATATGTGGGTAAATAAATGATATATAGACAGAAGATGTCAGAAGATGATAGACAGATAGATAGATGGATATAAAGAAATAGATGCATAACGCATAGACTGGCCTCCACTTCTCTTCTGAATGCACTTTTCATTCATAGTTGAGTCTCAGTATTTCCCTGGTTACTTTGAATTATCAGCTTGAAAAATTGCTTCCCACTTTACCTCTCTATGAAAACATCAGATCTTACCTTCATCTTCCACTTCCACACCCAGTATAGTCCTGGCCCAAAGCAAGTGTTTAAAAGTACTAATTGAATAGCCGATAAGAATAAAAGTATAGAAAAAAACAATCCACATGTTTCTTAGAGAGGGGAAAATGTTCCGGAGAGTAAATAGGCAACTGTAAGTCCCAGTTCTGCTTCTTACAACACATGCGATGTTAATTCAGTAACTTTAACTTTCTAAGTCTCTATTTCCCATCAATAAAATTGATACGATCGGGGTCAGCAGGTGGCATGGTGGTTAAGGGTGCTGGATTCCCACACAGCTGACCGCGATTCAAGTCCCGGACCTGGTGGCTTGCTTTCTCACTTTCTCTCTCACTCTGTCCCTCTCTGGTCAAATTAAAATAAATAAATGAATGAATAAATAAAGTTAAATAAAATAATTATTTTAAAAATGGATACAATCATGCTATTTTATTCGTGTATTTTTTGTTAGGATGAAGTAACATTATGGATTGCATTTATTAAGTATATTTGCATACACATAGTGACATATATCATATATATATATGATACATACATACATATATCTGGGATGGGACCCAAATCTAAGCACGAAATTAATTTATGTTGCATATAAACTATATCCACATAGACTGAGGGTCATTTTATACAATATTTTTGTATTGCAGTGTTTTGACTGTGACCTGTCTCATGAGGTTAGATGTGGAATCTTCTACCCATGGTGTCATGTTGGTGCTCAAAAAGTTTCACAGTTTGGATTTCAGACTTTTAAATTAAAGACACTTAACCTGTGCAATAAAATCTGTGTGAGGCTGAACCATTGGTCAGAGACACCAATATAACTAAAGTAATCAAGATGCAGACCCAGGGTCATGCTGTCAGACACAGATGAAATGAATGCCTCATCCCATAAACACTTTGTAAAACAGGGGATCTGACTTCCCAGATCACAGAGACCAGCAGATCACAATAAGGGTAGAAGAAAATCACCATCTCAGGACCAGCAGTTGGCGTAATAGCTATGCCACTGGACTCCCATGTAGCTGACCGCAGTTCGAATCCCAAATCCAGTGGCTTAAACTCACAGCAGGCACAAGTGTGTGTGTGCCCAAGATCCAAAGAGGAGAATGGAAGAGAAGGGATTACGATGTGGCCATCCCCTCTGGGGGGTGATTTTTCGCTTTCTGTCTCTCTGTTTCCCTCTGTCTTTCTGGTGAGCGTACATGCCCTATAGCACAAACCTCTCAAAAAAAAGAAAACATCATCTTTGAACTTTTCAGGGAAAAAAAAAAACAAAAACAATCTCCTTCAAGGAATACTATTGAGAACTTGATTCTGGGGAAGCACATTGGAGTCCACAGTCACTCCAGAGACATAGAAGCCATTGTTGCCTTTCACTTGCTAGGGCTTCACCTCCAGACACTTCCTGTTAGTAAGTGTCACAGGACAAATTTTGTCATGGTCCCAGATATTCACCTGGAGCCTAGAGGCAAGTCTCACTTCTCACTCACCTCTGCAGAAAAGCAAATCAGGAAAAGACGGAACCCAAGTGTTAAGGACTAAATATTTGTGCCCCCACCCCCAATTTATAGGTTGAAGTCCTAGCCATCATTTTGGCTGTGTTATATGTAGGGTCTATCAGGAGGTAACTAAGTTAAATGAGGTCATAGGGATTAAGGTCCTTATAAAGGGAAATATTAGAGAGCAAGCAGATATGCACTCGCTCTCTCCACACACACACACACACACTAAAGAAAGGCCATGCGATCCGTTGATTTGAACTCTCAGCCTCAGGAACTGTGGTCTCTGGCATCCTTTAGGGATCTTAGAACACATCTCCCATGGATAAGGGGGAACTACGGTACAAACAAAAGTACTTCTCCTCTATACTTCCTCTATTTATGTTGTTGTTGTTGTTGTTGTTGTTGTTATTGAGAATATCCATAGATAACTTCTTTTTCTTACAACTGAAAATAGAAATAGTCCATCTTTCACATCGGGTGGTTAAGGAAGCTGTATCCCATACGATCCACTACAGTCAAGTCCTGGTCCCCAAGGCTTGAAACCACACTTGGGTGAAAGAGGGACCAGCAGATAGTGTAATGGTTATATCACAGGACTCCCATATAATCAACCTGATTTGAGTCCCAGACCCAGTGGTTTAAAACTAACACCAGGCAAATGTGCATGTGTTCTCAAAATCCCAATAGGAGAATAAAGGAGAAGGGATTGGAGCATGGCCATCACATCTGGGGGTGAAGGGCGATTTCTTGCTTTCTGTCACTCCAGCGAGTGTGTGTTACCTATAGTAAAAATCTCTCTAAAAAAGAAGAGAGAGGGAGAAAGAAAGGAAGGAAGGAAGGAAGAGAGAAAGAGAGGAAAAAAGAAAGAGAGAGAGAAAAAAAAGAAAAACATACTGGGTGTTTATGCATGTCCCAAATCCCAAAAGGGGATGAAAGAGTTGACGTGGGAACCAGCAGTTAGCGTAATGGCTATGTCGCTGGATTCCCACGTAGTCGACCGCAGTGCGCGTCCCGGATCCGGTGGCTTACAACTCACGCCGGGCGCGTGTGCGTGCGTGCCCAAGATCCCAAGAGGAGAATGGAGGAGAAGGGATTGCTGCGTGACCATCCCCCCTGGGGGGGTGATTTCTCGCTTTCTGTCTCTCTGACTCTCTCTGTCTGGTGAGCGCACGCGCCCTATAGCGAAAACCTCTCAAAAGCAAAAAAAGAAAAAGAAAAAAAAGAAAGAGTTGACGGGACCACAGCCTATTGGGGGGATGGGTGTACTTGCTCCCTTTCCCTCTCTCTCCTCTCTCTGATGAGCACACATTCTCTCTGGTAAGGAAAAAGAAAAAGAAAAAAGGAAAGAAGGAAGGAAACAAAAAAGAAAGAAGAATTTAAAAAAGAAAAAAAGAGAAAGAAAAAGAAAGAGAATCCATCTTCGTTTTTAAGAATGATCTTATTTCATTTTATTTACCAGCTAGAGAGAGAAGGAGGGAAAGTGAGACAGTAAGCTGCCAGGTCTGGAATTTGAACCATCGTCACTTGTGTGGAAGTCCAGTGCCCCAATCATCACATCATTTGCTAATGATTGACTATCTTGATGAAAGCAAGATTTCTTTGTGAACAAACTCACTAGAATAATTTTCTGCCCTTGATCTTCTGGCATAGCAGTTCCAGTTAAAGGAGCATTTGAACAATTACATTAGAATTCACAGTAATCATATTTCTTAGGTTGTTGTAGTTTGTAGACAAAAGACATACATGAATTTTCCTAGTAACCTTAGTATTTTTTAAAATTTCTTTACATTTTACTGCTAATATCCAAGAGACTGTATTCTTGAAAGCCTGGGTGATACAGTTCCTCGTATATAAAAATGTCTTTGCAGTATCATATTCTATATGTAAAATTCATGATATGTTCTGTGGTGTAATATAGATACATTTATTTCAATAAACAAAAACAAAAATATTTTAAGTTGATGATCCAGAAATGCAGGCCATGTTTATTTCAAAGCTTAATTTCAGCCTTCTTACACTGTTAGGGGATAGATATATACTGCCAATATTCTCAAAGATCTGGGGACACTTTTAAGGCTCTTAAGAAAAATTGGAACAGCGTTCACTATTGCTGAGACTGCAACAGCAACCATGAGGACCATAGGAGGCAGTAGATACAATAGCAGTAAACTTCTCACCCTTCAGAAATAGATGAGCATCTGCAGCTTCCTGTCTTCTCTGTGCTCCCCACATTCTATTAAGAGAGTATCAGAATAATGCACATGTCTTTTCATCTAGATGTTTTGTTTTTTATTTATTTTGATTTTTGCTATCAAAAAATATTGTAGAGTCATTATCAAAGAAAGGAAATAAGTAAAAGGTTATCCATATTCCACTTGGCGGAAGGCGGCAATTCATATTAAGAAACATGCCCACCACATAATAGGAATAGACGAGATAAAAAAGATAAATGTACAGACAGAAGTAAGTCTTAACAAACCTAGACAACTGAGGAAAAAATCTACGATAAAACTAAAAGAAGAAAAGGACACTCAAGAAAATGGAAATAGGTTTCCTAGCTCTTCTAAGTCTGAGGAACACAATGAGATACAAAATAGAAACCCTGCTGAGTGAAGCAAGCCAGGCTATGAAGGAGAGACACTGTATGTCTCCACTCAATATATACTGACTGTCCACACTCTATGGCTGAAACTGAAAGATTAGAGAATATAGAAACACGGAAAATGGTTATGGATACTGAATACAGTGTGGGAAGAGGATGGAGAAGGAGGAGATTCTGAGGAAAGACATTAAGGAGAAAAATGGAGAGCAGACATTTATGGGACACAGAAATGAATTATTAACTGTTGATGAGAACATGAATAGCATCCCCAACTGGACTGGTATGAAGTATTCACATTGGAAAACTCGTTTTACAAGCAAAGTGATGTATAGCAATTGAATGTACAAAAGAATTTAAAATAAAATATACTGAACTTTAAAAATTAAACACAAACAAGCAAAACAGAAACCCTAGGCAGTAGACAGTGAAAGCTCACTAAGTCGGGATGAAGCTATGAGTCACTCTCTGATATTTGAAACTCCAAGTTACCAAATCAAATTTATTCTCTTTCAAAATTTTTGTTTATGATAGAGGACATGTGCACATGCATATGACAGAAAGAAAGAGAGAAAACAAGCACCTTCAAAACAGTCTCATCATAATGCAATCTTCTTTCTCCAGCCTTCCAGCTCAATTGCTCGGTGTATTTTCAGGCCAATCCAAGGATCTGAAATCATGGTCATGTGAAGTCCAGCATGGCAATCCAGCTTGCTACCTCTGTGTCACCAGGCTGAATCTCAAATTTATTTTTAAAAACTAAACTTTATTTCTCTAATTTCATTCTGTAAAAGTGAGGGTTTTCTATTACTCAGTTGTATTTGTTTCTTAAAGAAAAGCCAGAATATTCATTCCACTGTGTTAGTAATGTTAACATTCTTTTTCTTACCTTGTCTCCTCCTCTTTTTTCCTCTTTTTGTTTTTATCTCTACCTTTCATGTTGAGGGTTTTCTTTTAAATGCCTGTTGCTCCTGGGATGTTCATTTATACTTAGTGGGATATAAATCTAGGATTTGAACAAAGAAAGATGACTCTGGGTCCTCTGTTTTCAAATATTTTCTTCTCTTCACTCTCAACTAAGTCTAATATCTCAAAATCTTAGCTCTCTTTATTCAAAAGAAAAGTCTTTTATCTATAAAAGCAGTTATGAAGGAGTGGATATCTGACTTTTCTAGGCCAAAATGAAATATCTGAGAGTATACTGTACTTTAGATGTTATAATTTATACATTCTGCTTAAAGCCCCCTCTCTCCATCCCTTACTTCGATCTAAAGTATCAGATACCCTTATTATTGAAACTTTCTGGGCACTGAGGTTTTTGTTGGCATTTTCCTTTGTGGGCCCTTAGGATTCAACTTTCTTGTCCATTCATTTCCATTCTCAGAAATATTTCATATGTTGTCATCCATTTGTTCTGTATTACCTCTGGGACATATAACTTAAAAAAATATATTTTTTACTCTCACTTCAATGGATTCTCAGGAAGAAACAGAGAAAAATATGTCTCCAATTCATCCTGCTTAATCTATTGTAAGGCTAGCCTTTATTGATTTCCCAGAGATACTGAAAGGTGCCCAATGGCAAATTTCCTGTCTACCTTGTTCATGTCTCTACATTTTCCTAGTGTGTAGTCAGCATCCAAGAATGGGAGGGTTATTAAAAGAAATCATGACAAACAACAATCGTGTGTGGTGCTATAGCGGGGCAGCATCTCCACTCATAGTTAACCTTCAAGGTTGGCTCAGAACCTTAGGGGAAAACATCCAGTGAGAGATCAGATTGGCTGATCCACAGACAGATATTTTAACATCATGATGATGTTTACAGAGTCATTCTTAAGCCCAGAAGAGTTTCTTGAAGCAAAGATCTCATTCAGGAAGTAATTCTTTGATGATGGGCATGTTCCCTGAAGGTTTACTAATACTCCTATGGAGTCAGCTGATACGTGAGTCTTGAGGGTTTCTGATTGTTCCACAGAGAATTCTAAACGGGTGTAAATTCTGTGAGGACAGGAGGTGAGACTTTATCCAAGTCTATGAAAAGAGAGAAACAGAAGAACAAAAACTAGGAAAGGGGGGGTAACACAGAGGCGGGGACAAGGATTTAGGAGATACAGTGTCCATCCCAGCTCTAAGAAAGGAGATCTAAAGATGATCTTAACTACCTTATTTTGTCTTGGTAAATGGGTGAGCGGACAACAGCTGAATCAGAATCCTCCATCTATGTCCATCCAAGAAGGAGAGGATGTCACCATGAACTGCAGTTTCACAAGTATATTTTTCACTTTGCTATGGTACAAACAGAATCCGGGGCCAGGTCCTGTCCTCTGGATGATCTTAAATAAAGGAGGTGAATTGACCAGAAATGGAAAATTGACTGCTAAGCTTGGTGAAGCAAGAAAAGACAGCTTCATGCATATCTCAGCCTATGCCCCTGAAGATGTAGGCATCTACTTCTGTGCTGGTAGCACTGTACTCCCCAAGCACCTGCAGCCTGTTTTAAAGCTTATAGCTGAGACTCAGGCACTGTGCTGCCTCCAGTCCCTGCTTCTCTTGGCGGAAGATGTGACTATGCATGCAACCTATGTCTCCAACATTTCAGAACTGCAAACTCTCATGTATTCAAGAATTTACCTTCCAAAGAGTGTGTAAACTTTGCTTAATAAAATTCTCCTGTCAATTTTTTTTTAATGTGGATAATTAACTTGTTTTTTTAAAGAATTATTTATTTTATTTATTCATTCAGTCATTTTTATTTGATTAGAGAAAGATGGGTATGCAGAGAGAAGGAAAGTTAGAAAGCAAACCACCAGGTCTGAGACTCAAACCATAGTTGGCCATGTGGGAGTGTCCAGTGATTTAACCACCACGCCACCTGCTGACCCAATAGTTTACTTGTTTTTATCAAGATGTGAGGAAAAGTGATTCATATACAATCACAATAGAAGAGTTTATCTCTCTCTTAAAAATGGAAAGGTATCAATGAATAGAACTGAGAGTCCAGAATACACATTTGTGGCCAAGTGATTTTCAACAATGATACCAAAATGATTCGATGGGAAAAGAACCACGTTTTCAACAGAAGTACAACTGGATAGATGCATGCAAAAGAAAAAAGTTGGATCTTATCTCATGAATGTTCAAAAATCAACTCAAATTTATCAAAGACCTAAATGTAAGAGCTAAGAATATAAATACTTGCAAGAAAATATAGGTATAAATCCTGATAACTTCGGACTATGCAACAGTTCCTTGGATATGACACCAAAAGAATAGCAACCAAAGGGGAACATAGATTAATTGGACTTCAGCAAAATTAAAACCTTTGTGCATCAAAATTCACAAAGTTTTTCACAAAGGAAAGCAAAAAGACAAACCACAGAATGGAAAACTGTATTTGCAAATCATGTATCTGCCAAAGATCTAGTATCGAGAATTTATTTTTTAAAACCTCACAACTCAACAATAAAAAATACAAATTTATTTTATTTTATTTTATTTTATTATTTTTATTTTAATTTTACTGGAGAGGAACAGAGTGAGAGAAAGAGAGAGGAAGTGAGAAAGCAAGTTACCAGGTCTGGGACTTGAACCACAGTCAGCCATGTGGGAGTCCAGTGCCCTTAGCTACCACACCACCTCCCAGCCCTAAGAAATATGAATTTCAAAATAACCAAGGATTTAAATAGTTATTGCTCCAAACAAGACAAACAAATGGCTAAAAGGCAAATGAAAAGATGCCCCAAATCATCATTCATTAGAGAAATAGCAATCAAAATCACATCACATTATGATGTCCATAATTCTAAAAAAGAGAAAGAAAAGGACCAGCAGGCAGTGTAGTGGTTAAGGTGCTGGACTCCCACATGACTGACCATGGCCCAAGTCCTAGACCCAGCAACTTGAAAATCATGCTGGACTTGTGTGTGTGCCATGCATGTCCGAAATCCCAAGAGACTGGAAGAGAAGAGATTGCAGTGGGGCCGTCTACCCTGGGGGGTGATTTCTCACTTTCCCTCTCTTTGTCTGTCTTCATCTCTCCAGTGAACATATTGCCCTATGTAAAAATAAAATAAAATAAAAAACCTTAAAAATAAAAAAAGAGCGAAAGAATATTGGAAAATAATAAGTGTTGGTGAGGATGTGGGGAAATCAGAATCCTCATCCACCATTCCTAAAAATATAAAATGGTGCAGCTACTTTGGAAAACAGTTTGGCGAATCCGCAAATGGTTAAAATAGAGTTACTATTTGACCCAGAAATTGAGTCCGAGAGTCTCTACCTCAGAGGTCTGAAATACACTACATTTTGTTGCCCACACTGTGTCACACTGTCAGCACTAATTATAAGGAGCCTGGGAAAGCGAGCATGCACTTGGACAAACCTCTATAAGGAAGGTGAGTATGGAAAATGGTGACTGGGAATACGTGTTGGGTTAACTCTCCAGAAACTTCTGCCATATCATATTAACTCCTGGTTCCCCTGAACAGACTCTGACACCTTTTCATATCTTTATTACTCTTACTACCTAACAGTATGCATCAAAGAAAGCTGAAGTCTACAAGAGCTATACCGAGCTGTGTCAGACGCAGTATTAGCTTTGCGCCAGAAAACATTCTATAGGTTTTCTTCCTTACAGGTGCTCTAGGGGAAATCAAGAGCTCCGAAGAGGGATCAGTTGATATTTCTGAGGAGCAAGGGTCGACTGCTGCCGACAGTGCTGTGGGCAGATAGAGGCGGTTTCTTAAAGCGAGTGATTTTAATGTGTCACAGAGATCATCATATTCTCACATGTCAACAAGAAATTCCCTTCTCTCTCCCTATGAGTTTCACACATTCATGACACAATCCTCAAAGTCCCATGCACATTTTAATAGAAGAAATAATTTCACAGCTATCTACAGGGTGCCCAACGCAATTACACCCCATGGGAACTTACACTGTAAGTATTAACTAAACATAGCTAACTGTGTTTTCTCCTCCTTTCCCCATTCCAGTTCCACTGTAGGTAGGCTCCTACAATCCTGACTTTTTCAGTGCTTAAAATATTTTATAGAAGGCTTTTGAAGGTGTGTTTTAGTATCAAAGGTAAAGATTGCCTTATTCATTTCTCTGTGCTCCTCAGCTCCTACACAGAGAAGACAATCAATAAAAAATATTAAATGAATTAAAGGACAAGATGCTAATTAGTTCTTATATCTGTGCCTCTGTGCCACCTAGAAATACAGAAGGAAATTAATAACAGCAGCAACATAAATCTGACCTTCATGAGAACAGTACAGACTATCTTTGTAAACAGCAATAGAACATGTTATCGTTTACTGTATTGTGATGTTGTCAGACCTGTCAATCTCTCTTCATGCTTATTATAGCTTTTGTTTCTTGCTTAAGATCTGAAGAATTAGGCCACATTATCATGAAAAGGTTGGCTTGGAAACCAAGAGATAACTTTCTATCTGCTATGTATTATAACTTTTATGAAATGCAAATAGTTGTATTCACTTTGGGATCTGTTCTTCCTAGTAAGTAATTTTTTCTTAATAATCCTGAAGATCAAAAGAAAAGATTTTTAGTCTTCTTGGACTTATATACTACTTGGATTGTTTATACCCATTTTACTAAAATTAGACATTCTAGGCAATGACAAGAAAATCACATAATAACATTTATGGAGTGGAATGTAAGCAAGGCTATTCTCCAAGAGTATTAGTGAGGTAGGCCAAACTATGGTGACAAAGATATGCAAACATTCCAAAGCTTAAGGAACACAGTGTATTTATCACTGTTGAAGTGAGCGTCCCAGTCAGCAAGCAACCCTGCCTTACATGATCTTCAAGGGACCCAGGTTATCTCCTTAGGGGTTTGCCATTACATGAAGGGCCATGGTTTGGCCACTTGCCATGCCAGGTTCCATTTGCAAGCAGGTGACAGAGAGAGCAGGGAGCAGCCATGCCCAGTCCCTGAAGGATCTGACCATAAATATAGTCACTGACTCAAAGAGCTCTAGATAATAGGGCAGTCTGCTCTTCAACAATGAGACCAGTTAATAGAATCCACCAATCCACCATTGTCAAGACACGTGGATATAAGTTTTCAGCTAGTCTGCACCGGTTCATGAGACGGCAGTGTGCTATTTGAATGCCTCACATGAGAGATTAAGTGGGAGAGACTTGAATTTGAATTAGAGCCAAATGATACTTCATTTTTGGTTGGCTCATTAGCCAGATTACTATTTCCCTTTCAGGGTGCAGATGTGTGTGTGTGTGTATGTGTGTATATGTGTATGTGTGCCAAAGGAAAGAGGATTTGGGTTCAAAAAAGAAAAGGTAAGCTCAGAGCAGTCAACCCCCTTTAGCCCAGAATAACATGAGGAAGAAATTGAAGGATGGAAAAGTGTCTATGAGCGTCACTAGTGATCAGCTTCAACCGAGCTGTGAGTAGGTTACTAGAAAGGGTCAGTGACAACCAGGAACCTGGAGATTGGTCCTCGAAAAAATAAAGGGGAAGATGGAATCCATTCTGATTTATCTGCGCACCCCATGGTTCCAATGGAGAATAGTTGCTATTCTTGTGAAGATTTGATCAGCTATCACCCTCTCTAGCTGACTTTTACTTGTCCTTTTTTAAAACAGGGGTGAGCAGTGTTGACGAGGTGGAACAGAGCCTCCCATTGCTGGTGGTCCATGAGGGAAGACAGTGCAATTCTCAACTGCAGGTATGAAGTGACTAACTTTCAAACCCTACAGTGATATAAGCAGGAATAAAAAAGCTCCCACCTTCATGTTTCCATGAAGTTTCAAGTGGGATTGTGAAGAAGTCAGGAGATTAAATAATGCTTTATGTAAGGAAGAATTTCTCAGCATTATGCATTTCATGGCCACCCAACGCAGAGACTCAGCCACCTACCTCTGCACCATGGAGGCACAGTGCTTCCTAGCAATCTGAAGCCTCTTCCCAAATACAGCAGCTGAGTCACTACTGCTGTAAAATGGGGACCTTCCTAAATTGGGCAAGCCCTTCAAAATAAACTATAAAAAAAAGTAGCTCTTAGACTTGTGCCCATGTTGACAACTACTTCTGCGGGTTACTGAGTCCTAAATCAGACTGAGGCATATTTGCCTTTCATTACCTTCTCTGTGCTTTTCTACTGGATTTGGCAAAACTATTATTTTAGGGGGTCACTCATATGATGCGCACTCCATTACCATGTGAGTACGCCCATTGTAAAAAGAGAGCCTCTTTATCAGGATTGTGGCAGCAACCGGTATGTGCATTGTGCATCAGGGACCCCGTCTAACAGCTGTGGGTGTTTTATCCCCCCACTCAGAGTAGAACTCTTGAAAGTACAGTTCTTCCTGCAGCTTTTCTTGGTCGATCTACTAGCGAAGAATGAGAGGTGGGAACAAACAGGTAACATCGTCTCATTTAAAGAGAAGTCAAAGTTCTTCCTCACTTCATACTCCTCTTCATTTTAGGGTTGCTGCCTACGCTAGGTGCTTCATCAAAGTGGTGGGAGAATTTTCTCAAGATGTTGCATGTTAATTTGAATACTTAGTACCTTCAAAAAAGCTTCCTCAAATAAAGAGGTTAGATAAAGTAAGCTATGAAAAATTAACATAAACTTAGCTTAGTTATGTGATGGTATATTCATTAAATAAACTATTTCATGTGACTCTACACATTATATTTGCAAAGAGTTTGTGATGGAAGCTATTGGTTATTGAAAGCAAATATTATGTCCTTCTTACTTTACAATTTTCACTTCATTGAATTCTCAAAATAATGGATGAATTATTAGTATTATTCACAGTTAGGAGATTAGAAGGCTGACTCTGTTCCCAAGTGGTTAATGCAGGTGGATCTTACATGGCTGACCCCATGGTTCAAAGTTGCAGATACAACAGCTTGAGAATCAGACCAGGTACACGTGTTTCTGTGCCCAAAACCCTGAAAGAGGGGGAAAAATAGAGAAGAGGGAAACTTCCCAGGGGGAATGCTCCCTCTTTCTCCATCCTTCTCTGACAAGTGTACACATCCTCTAGGAGAAAAAAAAAAAAGATTAGGAAATGTTCATCCAAAAGATTAAGTTGTGCCCTCAAGACAAACAACTAATAGAACCCGAAATCAGGTCTATCCAATTCCAAAAGATATGCTTCCTTCATTACATGCCAAAAGTCAAACATCAGAGGGGGAACACATTATCCACAGTATGATCACAATTATGTACCAAAAATGTATACAAAACATTGAAATGACATAGGTTTAATATGTCAATAAAATAACATATTTTGTAACAACACATGAAAAAAAATAACACCAAAATGTTTGCAATGGTATTAGTTGAATTTGGGTGATGGACTTAAGACTGTTTATTGTTTTTTCTGCCCTATAATATGTGATATTGTCCGAATTGCCTCCTAGAGCTCAATAATAAAGCATTATATTAGAAATTAAAAAGTACAATATGCTTCATTTTTCTTTGTGTGTGTGTGATTGTGTGTGTGTATATGTGTGTGCATGTGTTTTCTTTAAACAGGGTCTCACTATGTCATCATCCTTCTGCCTCAGCCTCCCATGAGGATGTGACTACTGGCATGGGCCACCTCTTCCAGCTTTTTTTTTTCCTTTAGAGTAGTAATAAAGAGCCAGGCTTCCCATGTGACCCTGGCCTGCCTAGCTGCAGCATACAACATGCATTAATTACCATGGCTGAGCCTCATTTCATTTTAAATACCAAAATCCAAGTAAGGTGAAATTGGCTTATGTGATTATTATCTGGCACATTTTAGCTGACTTAAAATGAGGCATACACACGAACATATATGACTAAATAAAAAAGCTTTAAAACAAGATTCTTATTGCTAGCCATTTAAATCACTGACGACTAATGCTCCCTTAAACTAGAAATGTGTCAGAATTACAAGGAGGGTATTTATCAGATAATTTATTTTAACGACTGTCCTGTAAGTGGAGTGCCTTAGAACCCCATGTCCGTGCAGTAGAGCAAACTGCGGTAAAGTCAACTCAGGCTTGTAAGTGTGTTGGGTAATTCATTGTAAATTGAGCACAGTTTAGGTTTTACTGCCTGGAAAATGAGGAGATAGTATAAGAAAAGGGCAGGTGATCATTCAAATAAGAGGGGAAGAAATGGCATAAAAATTAGTAGACTATCTCCTGTCATTTTTGAGCCAGCAAACACCTCTGATGCCTTTCATTTCTTCTCTCCTTTTCTACCTACATCAAAACCCAGAAACCAGGTAGTAGAGACGGGAATAGGATCTGACTTTCATTTATTGAGGGCTACAGAATAAAATCGGAAATCCTGTGTAAGTCCTCCCAGAGTTCTGGCTCAGGGATATGAAGACCTTACAATTTAGAACCCAGAGATCAGCTCTCCGTGAAGGGAATGTGCAGCTGGAATGGAGAAAGCTTCTTTTTCCCTCTTTCTTATTTTCTACTGTAACCAGAATCAAACAGAATTTGCATCTCAGAAGACTAACGTCTCTATGAAATAATATGTATTCTAAAACTGACATTCATTCGTGTAAAAGAAAACAAAAGTAAATTAAAGGAATATCTGTAACTACGACCTACAGAAATTGTCACTTAACTGTTTTTAGTATGTCACTTTCTGTTTCACCTGAGTTCATGATGACGAACAAAACAAATCTAGCAGGATGTGGAGAATTCAACTTATTCCAAATAAAGAACAAGCGCTACTCAAAGTCACCACAAAATGAGGTGTTTCTTCAAAGGGTCTATGTGGTTACATTAAGCCCCTCCCACTTCTGACCTGTGAGTCATAAGAACCTGCTAGAAAACTCCTCGCAGCGCCTTCACTGTAAGATGCTTTCAGTGTGAAGTAAGCCACTGAATAATGCAAGATCATCAAGCAGGAAGCAAGAAGAAACAATGAACAGCAAGTTTATCCTCACTTCACTCCTAGCACTGGCCCTTCCAGGTAATATCCCTGTCCTGCACCCCAAGCTGCCCACCCAGAAGACGCAGCTAGTGTGACACTGTGCTGACCTGTGTCTTATGTTTCAGGGCCCAGGAGAGCAGACTGGATCAGACCCCAAGAGACAGAAGTATTTCAGACAGAAGGGAAGAATGTAAACTTCCTTTGCACTTACAGTGCTTCATCCACAAAAGCTGTTGATCTCTACTGGTTTCGACAGTATCCAAATCAGGCACCAGAATATATTCTCTACAGAGGATGGGGACACTCTGGAAAAGGAGATGCCAGTTTTGCCGCAGAAAGGTTTTATTCGAAGAGTACAGCAAATTCGGTAAACCTGTACATCAGAAACGTGGTTCCCGCGGATGCTGCTCTGTACTATTGTGCGCTGAGAGTGGCACAAAGAGAACCCATCATAGGGGAGCCGTACAAGAACCCCGTGCACAGCAGGGAGAAGGCGGAACACCCAAAACCACACTGACTTTTTTTTTTCTGCAGAAGACGTCATGGCAGTTAGGAGACAATGAATCAGGAGAATTCTGCTCTAGCTATACAGGAGTAATAGCCATACAAATGTAGGCATATAGCTTAAGCGTTTATATTTCAGTGTTCTGAAATTAGAGATAATAACTCCACTTTTTAAGCTGTTATGAGACATAACTTTAACACTTGGCTGAAGTGCCTGGCATGTCCTAGATACTCAGCAAATGGTATGAATCTTTTTTCTTTCTTTCTTTCTTTCTCTTAATAACTACTTTAGCCTCAAAGGCCCTTTCTCTTATGATCTGAAAATCTGCTATGTATCCCAATGTAAAAATAATAATAATTGAAATCCTAAAAATGTACATCCAGCATCTGCAGAAGGCTTCTTTGCCCAGGAACCCTGGTCACCATGCTAGGCTTTGAAGTGCGTGCTCAGTACGTTCAACAATCAGAGGGCAACAAGGCCCTGAGGCACTCTCATGGCAGAGGCACCTGGGAACTTCTCAGGTTGTGAATAAGAACGGGGTTGGGAGGTGGTCCTTCTTAAGAGAAAGAGGCTCAGCACTAGGGGATGCTGGGGGAGAGAGAGAGAATTGCTTGGATGACTTTGCCTTCCCAGATGGAGGCGAGCAGTAGAATTCTCTCACCACTCAGGCCGGGCCACCTGCCACCTATTGTTCTGACTCAAGTCACGCTTTCTGACTGACTCCTACCATTCAGCCAGGATCTGAGCAGAGCCTAGAGCTTTGTTTGCACTGGGTTAGAGGAGATGTAAAAGAGGCAGGAAGATTTAGAGCCTCATTCAGCGCAGTCTGTGACAGAGCCAGCACCATCTGGTTTCTAGGCCAGAAATCTCTGGGTCCAGCCTTCGCAGTGCATCCCACACCAGCCATCCTACCTGCTGGGTAACGGCAGTAGTCTCTAAGGGAGGATTGGAGAAAAGGCAGCAAAGCAGACTTTAATGTTTTCTCCTACAAAAAGGGACTGGGCGTGGGGGTTGAAAATACTGTGATTAGGAAAGAATTTCCAAAAATCTGCTTAAAGCTAACTTAGTGAGAAGTTATTCAGGAAGATGTAAAATAATTTAAGGAGAGTAATATATAACCCATTCCTTAGTTTCAGTTTTTAAAAAATTATTCCATATCCTATTGATAAACTGGTTATCAGTTTTTTAAAAATTATTCCATATCCTATTGATAAACTGGTTACATAGTGAACAACTTGGAAAGGGATTTTAAGATTTGTTAAACAGTTCAGACTTTTGATTCTGTCTCAGAATTTATACTAAGTACTAATTTTAAGAAGGAAATAAACTCCTAGGCAAGAAAATACTCTGGTAGAAAAATTTCAACCACTTAGAGAAATTTGTTTAACAACCTGATTACATTCTCTATAGCCATGTAACTACGCTATGCTCATACTCACATCAGTGATTGAAGCACACAGATAAAAGTACAAGGCTTGCTACAAAAATTAAAATAGGAATTTGTTGAAGGTACTGTATTTTTCAGTATTTTAGTTTTTATTTATAAAAGATTCTTAGCTATAAATTTTACAGCTAGTGTTAAGTAATGGAAGACACTTCTCAATCTTCTCTTAGACCTTGGGTGCCAGCTTTACGGTTCACTGACCCTCCCAAAAGTCCTCTCGCTTAGTTCTTCTCCCAGACCTGCTTCCAGAGTCACTACTGAATTGTTCTTTGTGTCTCAGACCCATCTTCCATATGGGGACATAAGAAAGAGCTGCCTTCAAATCTTTTCCCTCTATAATAGACTCAAGTGGAAGACCAAAAGCTGATTATACTAAAAACCCAGAAACTTCCATTGACATCTCATGGGACACCATGTCCAGTTTCAAAGAGGAAAGATTTAGTAAGCTATATCCTCACATTGAATTTAGTCTTACAACTATTTAAAAGCATATGACTATAAATTTCAGTGGATTTAAAAATATGCGAGTCAAAAATAAATGCCTTTTCATTTTTAAAAAATGGCAAGTGACCAAGAGGAAGGCTCTCTTCATAGAAGTCTTATCTCCTATGCAAATATGAGTTTATGGATGCTTACACAAATTAACATTCACTTGTCCTGTTCTTATGGTTATCGAAAAAATAGATGACAAAAACCCCTTTCCCTCATATTTGAACATTTTTCAGCACTATGATCATTGTTGCCAATTTTTCCCTTCACTCCTTTCTCTCCAGTCAGAGAAGCATATCTCTATTTAGAATGTCGACAGTGGAGAGTCAGACCTGGTATTTGTTCTGTAACAGGAACCAAAGCACACATTAGCCTGAGATAACTACAGAGAGTCGGGACATGCTGGACAGCTGGCACATTGTACTCAGACACCCTGTTCCCAGCTCTGTGGCTGTAGCGTCAAGTAACTCCAGTGCTCTGTGTGAAATTGGTTGTGCACACAGAGCACAACTGAGCCCTGGGCTTTGTGAGAATAAGACTATTTTTTTCTCCCTCAGAGAATATGAGACCTATCAATATGTGCAGCTCTGGCCTTCTGGGAACAATTGTGGGCTCCATCTTCCTCAGCAGGGACTGAGCAACCCACAAGGCCCCGAGATGAGAAGATGCATTGAGCCAGGGAGAATAAAGGAGAGTTTTCCAAACCAGTGTATACTTTAAAAATATATATTACTCATTTTTTTCCACAAGAGAAAGAAAGAGGAATGGGCATACCCAACAGGGACTTTATCCTGTGACCCACTAAGCCTCCCAATGTGGAGAGACACAAACATTGGGACACAGACTCAGGACCTTCCCATGTGCCTCAGCTTTGCAGAGCATTTACTGTTGCACCACTGTGGCTGCCCCAGGCTACGCTCTCTTCAGTTGTCAGGGCAATCTCCTTAGGACATGGGAGTTCTAATCAGAGCTGTTAAGAATCGTCTCACTGTATGTCACAAATTAAATCTGTCCTATTGCCTGTTGTTATTGCTTCCTCTGCAGGATTCGGCAGTACCCATAGTGTCATTCAGTCCCATCCTGAGATATTTACACAAGAAGAGTTTGTGGCCCTGAACTACAAATAATTTGCAAGTAATCAAACTTATCCTTTTTCCTGATTTGGGAGATGTTCTAGTGGGAAGATATTTTTTTATTTCTCAAAGTTCAGGAACCTCCAGAAGAGCAAAATATGGTTTCTTGTGAGTTTGTAAAAGAAGCCATGACCTCATTAGCATTATTTCTACGATGAAGTCAAAAGACTCAGGACTTCCATTGTATGAGGAAAAATAAAAACTTTAAGACCCAAACCTCAACCTCAGCAAGCTCTGTGGCACTGTGATAATACACTGCTTTGAACCAGATCCCACATGGCCACCATGGTTCAAATCCCCAGCCTAGTCAGACTGAAAGACACTGGGCACATGCACAAGTGCCCATGAGCCAATGATTCTGAAGGACTGGAGGAAGAGGATTGAGGGGTGACCATAGCTGGTGGAGGGTGTTCCTTTCTCTTTCACTCTCAAGTGCATACACAGGTGTTCTATCATGAATAAAGAAAATGAAACAAAACAAAAACCTCAGAGCTTGTACCCAGGAATCTTAGACTCTAAACGGAGAAGACAATTAGAAACTGTGGGCAACAAAACTGGAGTATGGAAGAAGAGATGAGTGACTGTGTTGCAGAGAAAACCACATCAAACTGCATTCTTTGAACAATGCTTTCAGCCTACACTCCTTAAACTGACTCTCACTGTTAAATCCTGGCAGGTAAAAGAACAGTACTTTCTTTGAATCTAATTATTTTTCTTCTGAACTTTTTAATATATGCTTCAAATTATAAAAACAATATTCCTCATTGTAATAAATGAAATTATTAAAAAATGAGGAAAAAGTTAATTCTTATTCACCCACTCTCTTCCTCTTCCACCCCTACTGACATAAACAATGTTAATAAATTGGTGTCTGTTCCCAACATTCTCCCTCCATTTGTAAACATGGGAAAACATATTTCCTAAGTGAAATAAAACATCTTTTCAAGAGTGTCTTTGTCCATTTCCTTTTAGATTACTTATTTCATGTTAATAAAATGTATACTAGAAATGTCAAATTGTTCTACCATTTCGCCAGTCTATTTGACTTCTCACTTTGTTTATACTATGTGGCTAGGTATTTTTTACCTTTGAATATACTGTAAATTTTATATAGTCAAATATGCCTATCTCCATTAAAGCTTCTAGATTTCTACTTACTTTAGACTATTTCCCATCATCTAAGTACATATAAATATTCTGAGATTTTTAGCCAATAGGTTTTATCATTTTATTATTGCCAAGAAGTACATGTGCTTGCCAGAGAGAGATAGAGAAAAGGGTAAGAGGGAGAGGATAAAAGCACCCTCCAGTAAGACATTGTCATGCCACAATCCCTCCTCCTCTATTTCTCCATACTACTGGTATTTTAAGCACACACACACACACACATGCACCCAGCATGTTTTTCAAGCTGCTGGAGCTGGAATTCAAATTACAGTGGGCCATGTGGGATCCAGCTCCTTTAACCACTAGGAAACAGGACTAGCCCTATCATTTTGTTTTTACAATAAGATCTTTCCACCACCCAAAAATTACTTTATATATGCAATTATTTTTCACGACTAGCCCGATCATTTTGTTTTTTACAATAAGATCTTTCCACCATAAGAAAATTACTTTATATATGCAATTATTTTTCACTATTACAATATCTTTATCTATGTTATAACAAATGGTATAAGTCTATATTAAGAATTATAAAAGATTACAAAAAATATTATGAAAGGATTTTATATATGACTCTGAGGCGGCCATGAAGCAATGGCCCAGATCATTTTGTTTTTTACAATAAGATCTTTCCACCATAAGAAAATTACTTTATATATGCAATTATTTTTCACTATTACAATATCTTTATCTATGTTATAACAAATGGTATAAGTCTATATTAAGAATTATAAAAGATTACAAAAAATATTATGAAAGGATTTTATATATGACTCTGAGGCGGCCATGAAGCAATGGCCCACACTACTCAGTGCTGAAGCACAATCTAAACATCTACAGATAACCTATGGGCCCCAAAATTTATGGAAATTTTTAGATGATAAATGTGAGCTCTGATATTGTATCCTTAGGGCCCATGTGCCAAAAACAAATCATGCAAAAAATATTCTGTAGTCCAATTGGTAGGCATCGGAGCAATTATAGAT